GCGTTTGATGCCAGGTATATAATTAAAATGTGGAATGGAAATAGACACGCATCAGCTCAATAGATAATTCCAATCATTTGGCTTCGACTGGACATCAGTAAATGAACACCTTGTAAATACACGGACTGTAACTAATCATTCACTTCAATCACAAAGACTCAATCAATCGACACCCGATTCGTTGACCTGCATCGAATATGCGTGTTTGGTGACCTAGTGAAAAGTTCACAGAAAATGTTCGAAAGTGTTACGTATTCAAATTATGAGCTGCAAGGTGTCGCGCAATACTCTGAATGGAAATTACATAACTTTGCAATCAAAATTCGAACCAATTACGTTGGGCTGCTCGTTCCGGTCACATGAAATTTTTTGTGTTGAAAACGGAAAATTCGTGGAACGAAAGAATGCTTGCACGATGAATTAGATTATGAAATGAATTTCTGATTGCAATGAAGCCGATACGTCACATTGATAGGAGCACAACAAAAGGGCGCTTTCAACTCAACAACGCATAATGCCAATTCAGCGAAGCCGACAACATTCGAAATGGAATGCATTAACAAAATAGCAGGAACTTGTGAATGACACAGAGCATTCATGTGGATTGAGATCAGAATTTTATTTCATTTAAATTACCTTCAGTCTTCTGTTTCTTTTAAATCAGAATAAATGGAAAATAAAGAATTGCCTGTTTATGTAAAGTAATTAAGTTTACATGTTCATTCATGTACATCGCGGTAATAATTGCATTCCATTCAATGCGAACATGATTTTGAATTGATATAAGTGCGGTCGAGAAAGAAACTGCTTTTGATACAACGCAAATTCGATTCGCATCTTGTGCTCGATTGTTGAAATGCAGTGATAAATATGGTCACTTTCTCTTAAACGATCATTGAGTCGATGAAGAATGATGCAGACGAAAGCAACAACAACAACAAAACGAAGACGTTTGAATCAAAATGTGAATGTTCAGCACTTTGCTTTTGAAATCAATGGAACCGAACGAAACCACGCGAAATGGTGTCATGGAAAATGCAAAATATTTCTGTCTTTGATGTCACGAATGAAGTCGCAAATAATCATATTTTTTTTTCTTTTTTGCTTTGCTGTTTGCGATTGCATTTGAGTCATTTATTTGTGTGCATCCAACTGCTAAAATAATTCAACTGAAAATCTCATCGTTTCTCGTTGCACAGCGCGCAAATCAATCTCACACAGCTAAGAGACACCCAGCAAGAAAATATGTTTTCTTCGTGAAAACTGTGTGCTATTCAGTGCTGCTGCTGCTGCTGCTCCTCTTCCTCCTCTATCTCCTCTACCGAACAAGATTCATTTCATTCGAATTCACTATAATAAAAACACCCTCTGAAATGAGTTTACGAGGTAAGAGCTATGAACGCTCTCCTTGATTGATTATATGCAAATGCTGCTGAAGACACAAAATAAAACTGGAACGAATTCATTCGTTTCGGGTGTACTTATGCTGGTTCTGTGTGTAAGAAAAAAACCGCATTGAAATTCATTGTTTCAAGAGTAGAGAAGGTTGATAGTGAAAATTGGACGAGAGTAAAAAAAATGCAAAACAAAATTCTATGAACATTAAAAATTGTGACCGAGAAACGGAATTTGAACGAGCCGAAGGAAAAAACATATACATTGAATGAAAAGAATAAGCAGAGAAAATTAAAAATTAAACTAAATGAGAGGAAAAGGTTAACAAAGTGAAACGCGAAATTTCGTTTTTTCTTCCTGCTCGCATCGTTGTTGGTATTGTTGCTGTTGTTTTTTTCCATGTTTCCGACAAAGTCTGAACGGAAAATGAAAATGCGGAACAAAGAAAATCTTTGGGCATAGCGAATATTTTCTCTTTCTTTGGACACCCCCCTTTCCACTTACATAATATTGTACATTGTTCCCATTTGCTATTTGCTGGTTTGCACTGTTCTTGCTGTGCGTACTTTTATTTTCCTTAACATTTTCTTGTTTTCTATTATTGCGAATTCACAATCGTTCTTTTTTTATTTCTCTTTTCGCTTGCTATTGCTGTTGCTGTTCACGCTGCTGTTGCTGTCTCTCGTTCTTTTACCAATATTAACATAATTTCACTATAATTTCTCCCTTTATTTGCTTGTGTTCATTTTTCATTTACTTTTCATAAAGCGTCATACTGTGAATGTATATATTTATTTCGGTGTGTGTGTGTGCATTTTGTTTGCGCTCGTGATCTCGTTCGCGCTTATTTATTCGTGTGTTGAATTTGCTTTTCGAACTAACTGCTAGCCATCTATACTATTCAGTTTGGCTTTTGTATGTTTTCCACTCTTTACAACTGAAACGAAGATAATATTGTAAATGTGCAGTTATCTCTTGCGTGTGTATTTATGTTACAGTGGGATCGAAAACGTGGTCTCCTCTCTCTCTCTCTCTCTGCCACTAACTCACTCACTTTGTCTCTTCCGCCATCCATTTTTCGCCCGGTTTTGCGAGATGGAATGATTTCTCTGTCTTCCCAAACGTTTGCCACAATGTCGCACACAACGCATTTCACGATTCTGTTATGCATACAGTCCGAGGTGCAGTCACTCGTGTGTCGGTTTTGTCTCTTTCTTTCTTCGTTTTTCTCTCTTTTTTTCTCTTTACCACATTATGGACTTAAATTTCGATTTTGTATGCAATGCCATTTACGATGCATTTTTATTTTTATTTTACGTGGTAAAATATTTGTGTGTTCGCATGAATTTTATAGTCGGCGAATTTACAACTAACTGACATTTTCCCGTCGTTTTCGGTATTATTTCTCGTTCTTTTCGGTAAAAGACGTCGTAAGCTAAACCACACTGCTGACTGCTTCTCAATGCATTCACGGGTTGAAATGGTAACGAGAAAATTTCGAAAATGCTTTTCAAGGTAGGAAAAAGGAGAGAAAAAAAAATGCTATAGCTTTTCCGTGAGATTTCCGTTCTCCTTTTTTTTCACGTCTTCTGTTCTATATTTTGCGTAGGGAAAAAAAGAGAAATAAACCGCACCACTATGTAAATTTTATCGGGATTATTTAGATTTGCTGAATTGAAGCAGCCCAATTTAGCGCTTAAGAGTTTTACCACCGACCCTCTCGTCTCGATTTACATTCAAATGGGTTCGAATAAATGGGCAACATTTTTGCTGGGGAAAACATAAATCTGCATCTTAAGCTCAGTTGCATTGTTGTCGTTGTGAGTAAAAATCCGTTTCCGTACGGCTTTCGTCTCATAATTTAATTAGCATTGTCATCAAAGTGACAACAGAAGTGAAAGCATGGAACTTGCCATTGTTTGGGTAAAAAATAAGTAGCAACATTCCTTGTGCATTTGTCGAGTGCAAAAGTGCATCATCAAATCGAGTGTGCCGTGCATCTTATGATTATAACGAGACAAGTGCAAAGCTAACATCTTCTAAGCAATGTATCGACGACGCCGACGACAACAACAACAATGACTCAGTGTATATATACGTAAACAACTTGAGGATAATGAAGAGATTTTTCGCATGCCAGACAACGCGATGTAATTGATAAATATGATAGATTAAGTAGAAATGGTTGTTCGCAAGTCAAGCACCGCAAGTTAAACTACGAGCACTTATTTTTGAAAATGTTAAAAGATGATGCACATCACTTGTGCACACCGCGCTTTCATCTTAGCTCTTGTCCTTTCTTCTTAACTTTCTTCACTCATGGCTACATCTTTTGTAAATGTGCAGCTGTGTTTTTGTAGCCCGTTTTGTACTGATGAGAGAAATAAGTGACTTTTAACGAGCCGACTGTGATCTGCCTCAGCAATAAACTGATAAACCCATCAAATATTCAATGGCTGAAAACAGCTCAATTTATGTGATGACTATTAATTGCCCAAAAATGTTGTCGTAAAAATGTTAAATGCGTCCATAATTTTTTTTCTTCCTTATTTTTCGAGTAAATAATACGACAGTATTGTCTGCGTGTGTCTGGGGAATGATCTCTGATTAAATTCGTAATTTGTCATCATTTTGTTGCGCTTCATTCCGCATTTTGTTGTGACGGCTGCTTTTACTCTGACATTTTATGTAGATTCCTTGGTTCCAGCGTTGCTGCTATTGTTGTTCTTGTTATTGCTGCATAATTTCTATTTTATGCCATGCCTTTTTTTTAACGTGGATTTTTTGTGTGCATGAGCCAATATTTGAGCCGTTGTTTGGTACGCAACTTGAAATGCTGGAATCTCAACGAGTATTTGCGGTCGTCCGGCAATAAAAAAAAGAGAACTGCACTCAACATTTTATGTAGCTATTATATATGCAAGCGCATAGGTATATGAAACGGTTGGGCATGTGACAGAAGCGAATGTGAATTCGCGTTATGCACGAAATATCATTTAGTTTTACAGATTTTTTCTTTCTCTCTCTCTCTCTCTCTCTCTCTCTCTCTCTCTTTCTCTCTCTCTCTCTCTCTCTTATCCTGCAACGTCATCGTCGTGTGTTCGAATCCCGTTTCATTCGCCGTCATAGGCAGAAACAATGAAAAGTTGTATGTGTCGTGGTTTACAGGAGTTGGTATTAAATTTTCATTTATGTGCAGAGTCGTTATCCCCGCGTATGAACGAAAGAAACGAACGCTGCGCATTACATGACCGACACAGCAAAAATTTACGGTAAAACTTTGGATTATGGCAGTCCTTTTAGATGCCGTTTTTGCTGTCTCTTCGTCTCTTCATCCCATTCATTCCGTCTTTTTCGCCGTGAATACAGACATCTGCATATTGGTCACTCACATCTCGTATCCATTTTTTTTTTTTTGAAAGCATCGGTCACATCGTGTACGTCAAACAGCAGCAGTAGCAGCAGCACCGCAAGCCCAAAACTACCTCTTGCAAAACACACAAAATATGTTATAATTTTATACGAATCGCATACCGTGAATATAGTTCTTCTAGCAAATGAAATTTTTATCGTAGTTCTTTGTCCACCTTGTTCACGGTGGTGCAATGTGGATTTCATACGGTGACAAGGGTAATTTGTTGCTTGGAAACTTGAGGCGATGCACGCACACTTACTACTAACGACACCATTATACTGCAATATATAAACTGAATACATACAAATAATTAGCCATCAAACAGAAGTTTTACTCTAGAGCAAATTCCGCTCAATCTTTTTTATATCGTTTCATCTCTTTTTTGCGTGCATTTCACTTCAGAAACTATTTTATTATAAATCTTGTCATTAATTTTTTTTTATCATTTCAGTGCCACCTCATCAAATCCTAGTGTATGATGCATCCGGACGCGATGTTTCTGGTGCGGTTGGTCCGCTTTATGAAGGTGACAGTCTTGTTTTATCATGTGAAGTTCGTGGTGGTAAGTTGAATGAATTTTTAAAAATTACATTTACTTATGACCGGTTATGATTGTTTCACATGAATTTGTCGATCAAATAAATGGTATTTTGCGGTTCAATTGAGCATCGTTGCTGTTCACTCAGCCATAAATAGTTGATTTGTCTTTTTTTATTCAAACTAATTTCCAATTTGAAAAGAAAATTGAATTTTCATTAGTTTGACAATGGATTTCAATATGGGCATCAGACATGCGCATGGGAAAGACAACAACAGTGGAACAGTGGAATCACTATATATCGTAATAGCAAACAGGAATTTTGTTAGTTTATTTTTGAAATAATGAACTAAGTGAATTAAAATTGGTACGAAAAAAATAGTTGAACTCAATCAAATCGAATAAATCTGTTCTACGGCGATCAATCGTAATTTTCTTTTGACATTTGCTTTGATTCGATACACATTTGAAACGGAACGATGCTCGTTAGCGTATTTATGCATTGAATTTCCATCAATGTCAAAATGACAACGCTTACTGTCTTGATTCTGAGTGATTCGTGCACATTCAAGTGCTTTATCACGTTCGGCACAACAGAAGAAAAAAATCAATTCCAAAGTATCGCTCATTTTTATCGTGGCACACAATTTGTTCTCTTTTCATTTTCAATGAATAATCCAAAAAAATTCTTTACGAAAGAGAGGAGATGAAGAAACTCGAGCGAAAGTGCATGAATTGAACAAGTCGATGCGCATGTAACGTCTTATTAACAATTTGCGAACTGTTATTACGTGCGAGCGCTTCGTTGATCACACACATGCATGATTCAGCGTGAAATTCAAACGCGTTGACTTGCGGAAAAAGAAAAAGAATGAAAACAATCACGAAACGTGTGTCTCAACATGCAGCCACTGATTACAGTTAATATTTAGGGTTCTGCTAAATCAACCAATTTAATTTTAACCGAAAATGTCTGGAAAATTTTCTTCTTTCTTGCAATTCATCAAAAGTAAATTTATAGCATTTTTAATAAGCATTCACAGCAGCAGCAGCAGCAGCAGAAGAAGAAAAAGAAGAAAATTATAAATTATCTCTCATCTTGAAATATAATTTCATTTTATATGGTTCGCATTCTACCATTTTGATACCCATACTTTATAGATTAACTTTGAAGCAGTTTTCATTAAAAATGCTGCACGTTACGGGTGAAATGGATTTTTTGAGCAGAGGATCACAGAGAGTGTGGAGAGGGAGAGAAAGAGAGAGAGAGAGAGAGAGTGCGTGAATGTGAGCAGAATGAGGAAGAGATCATGGTTTGTCGTGGTTGTGTACTTTGTTACATTTGCTATGAAATGAAACAGTCGAACACAAGTGGTTTTTACGTAAAACTTTATTAAATTAATACGAACATATTTGACGAAAGGCAGAGAGAGAGAGAGAGAGCGAGAGGGCGAGAGAGAGAGAGAGAGAGAGAGAGAGAGCAACGAAAGTGTATTCGAAAATTGTACAAACAGCGAATTTGGCAGAGATTTTGATGGGCTTTGGCATGGAAATACTTGGGTAAATCCAACCAAATTCGTAAAATAAGTTCTATAAAATACATTTAAACGTTGCCTGGGCGATTGTCGATAATGATTATTCTTCCGAGAATATTCCATCAATAGAAGCAAAGTGGATGACCAAATGGTAAATATCCACTCGTCAATTTGGAGCCTTTTTCATTTCAGCTTGGCTTTGTTTTGCTCTGCTTCATGGGTGGAGAATGGAATGTTGCTAATTTGCCAACTTCCCTATTAAACTATTTCAATTCCACCCATCAACGTCATCAATGATATGACTCATCATCATCATCATCATCCAGAACATCAAAGTGAATTAAAACAATGGCTGGCCAATTATAACTGCGTAGTGAAGCGTGCATCTTATACATTCGCATTGTGTGTGTGTGTGTGTGTTGGCTCTTTATTGAAACTTTTACAATGTGCACCGAGTTTTGGCCACTTTAAAAATTGACGACGTTAACCTTTTGGGCTTGTACGTATGGAATACCTGAATTGAAAATCATTCTTGCGAACGGTATTGCCGTTTACTTGATATTCGCAAATAATATTCTAATTACGAATACCATTATCCAAATTATAATTTATTTATGTACTTTGTTCACTGTTGGGTATCGCATTTTAGCTCAAACAAAACCGCACACACATACACAACCGATTATACAAAAACTCTCTTTCTCTCCCTTTCTCTTCATTTCATACTGCTGCTGTCTTTCTATATCTCTTTAGTACTGCTACTTTATATTTTGTACCCATATCCTTTGAAACGCATCCACTCGATATGATACCGTATTTCCATCATGAGAATCGCGAGCACGCCATCGTATTTAATTGGCACAAGTTGCCACAAGATGAAAGATTCATTTCCCGTAACGGTTCCCGTCTGCCAACACAAAACTCCGCATAGGCTTTTCAACATTTTTGTTCAGTGTTGTTTCCCCCATTCAGTCGCTTAAATATTCGCGTGCTTCAGCCTAAAATAGGGAAACGACACAAAAAGTACACTCAACGAGTATTGATACGTAGTTGCATATCGTGTACAATGAAGCTCAGCGCTGGAAACACGCATTGCACCCTATGTGTATCCACTCGACGACACAAAGACTAGTTTCTTGTTGCATTCTCGATGAATGGCACGCTGCTGTGTCCGATTAAAAGGATTTTATTTTTTCATAAATAAAAAGTTTCATCGATTTCTATCTGGCGACGGAAAACATAGATCGCAGGCGATTGGTATTTTATGGCAATTGGTTCCGAAATATTTTGAATACTAATTCCACGATATTGAAATATTTGACTAGAATTTCAGCCTCTATATTTCGCATTCAATCACATATTTTCCGACAATTTTCCCCGTGCAGTCCAGTATCGAGATTGTGACGTCCAGTTAACTGGAACATGAACATTGAACACATCGATTACAGCGCATTCGAAGCAAAAAGCACGGTATTCAACGTGCAAACAACAACTCCTTATTGTATATTATATTGGGAAAATAGTTTTTCATGCATTTTGGTACAAATTGCTTTGACAAACAATTGGCAAACACACCACAACCAAAAGCATTCCATTGAATGACATTCGATTTTCGTATAAAATGCAAACACACATACACTGTTCCTCATGTGTTCGAAGCTTCGGCGCATTGTTTTTTATGACATTTCAATATCAGAAATTGGCACCGAGCTCTCGAGAGGTAGAGAGACACCATAATCATCATCATCACATCAAAATCCATTTTCATCGACAAGTAGCAGTAGAATGTGGAAGTGAGAAAGAGAGAAAAACACATCGTCTATATACATATATCAATTGCAAATGACACTAAATCAATATCGAATGAGAATGAGAGTGAAAAAAGGGCAGGAGAGAAAGAGAACGATGGTATGCATATACATATACACATGGCGAAAAAAATGGTTCCCAGTGCAAACAATAGGCATTATGCATACTCATACTCTGTCCCAGAATTTCATACACACAACCTCTCATATGTTATTGCTTTTGCTTTTGCTGCTGTTTTTGTTACTGCGGTTGCTGGTACTGCTGCTGGTGGTTGCTTTTTGCAGCTCACTTTTTTTTTCTCCTTCGCTCGGCGTATTTGCGAATAGACAATTTAATGTTATACCGAAAAAGGGCAAAGAATAAAAAATGATGGCTCAGCAATAATAATTTTTTTTGTCTTGCTGCCTCAACTCGATGCTCCATGTGAACGCATGTACGTTTTTCCCAGTGCAATATATTTGCGAATGGTTTTCGGTTCTCTCAATTCGTTGTTCTTCTGAATGCTCCTTTGGTATCTCGTGCGCGCACAAAAAGAGGGGGATAAAGACACATACACACAGGCACATGACACACTTTATATGGTGAATGTGCATGCCGATTATTTGTGTTTTTTCTTTCCGGTTGAAGATAAATGTTTCACAGATTTTTCGACTCTGACGAATTTGTTTGATAATGTCATCTTTTCGTTTGGATCCCATCACAATTGTTTTGCGTCTCGCGCGCCGTTCGTAGATTACCTCATTCCCCATTATCGGATCTGCCACACGCTCTTTGCACATCGGCATTAAGGGATTCGATTTGCGAATGATAAACGCTTTCGGAATGCACCGTTTACGCTCAATTTACGTTTTGTTTTCTGTTTTTTGTCGATGATAAATATTTTGTAAACATTTCATTCATCGGATGAGTCTCAATCGAAACGGAACATTGTTTTTCTTTGGTTGCGTTTTTGTTTCAGCGTTGCCAAAGTTTGCGTTTGAGTTTGTGCTTTTTTTGCAGCCAATGCTTCCAAACCGTTTAAACGTTAGCGATTTCCGAACGAAGCAAAAACAGCAAGCGAGAGAAAATGTTCGAAAAACAGAAAATTGTGCAACGTAAGAACCAATTTGGTTTTTTTCCTCCATTGTTGTTACTGTTCATTTTGTATTTTAATTTGTGAACACCACCCACTCACAAAACTGCAAACAAAATGTTGGAATTAGTTACCTATGGAATCATTGAACTGTGTAAACCGTTGTCTTCGTTTGAAAGACAAATTTCGCTTAGCAGATGAGTTCATTTATTTCAATGAAAATGCACCAATAACAAACACGAAACGGGAGAAACAATTTCAGTTTAATACGTAAATTAAAGAGTCGGTAATTAAATAAAGACATTTTGTGAGATGACCTGACTGATTTCAAGTCATTTCCTATACATGTTCGATTGTTGTATACATTTTTGTATTGATAGGGCTGTTGATGCCGACAGGGTGCTATTGTTTTTGTTTCTGTTGCTGCTGTTGCTGTTGCTGTGCTTGCTTTTGTTGATGATGAAAAAGGGTGGGCGGATTTTGGTTGGCTTATTTCCGAATTTGTCACAAAAATGCACCGGCCAACTCAAACGATGAAATAATGCTGCGAAATCGATCGAAAGCAAAACTAATTAGTATTGGGAAGAGGTAATTTGATTGATGTCTCATGGGGCGGTAGCCAAAGCCATATTACATACCTTTGGATCGGCTTTTTTGAAGCAAACATTCATGTTATATGCACGATCACAGCCCTCTCCTGCTGGATACAAACACCTTCTTATCATATGAATGAACGTGAAGTGAATTTCTTTGTCCTCGTTAAATGATTCGTGCAAGCTAACAAAATCGATTTTGCCATCTGGCATAATGAATCTCTTCTCCTGCAGAAGACAATCCATGTAGCATTTAAGCTTGTCGTCTTCAAAAATTTCGTCCCCATCACTAAATCGCTTAATGACATCTGCAATATACACAAAACTCAACATGAACATACTGTGTGTGTGTGTGTGTGTGCGTGCGCGCGAGCGTACGCCACGGCCGTGTTCAAGCGTGAAAGCAAATGGAATTATCCTTATCGCCATCTCTTTCACACTCTTCATATTCTGTTTTTTTTTCTGTTTCTGATGCTAAGTTACCTTCGGAGACTCCGGTTCTCCCAACGCAAACGTCGTGAATGGGCTTCCATTTGGCTAGAAGTTGTGGCGGCGGATACTTTCAAATTCGAAAAATGTATAAAAAGTAAAAAAGTCATCAATAGAAATTATAGAAAACAGACGGAGCATTCAAAAGCGCACACAAAACACAAAAAGAACGGGAAAAATAGCATGACCGACAGAAATTGAGAAATTAAAATCGAGAAGAAAAGAAAAAAAAATACTTCGATGAAGTGGGGATCCATCGATGTCTGTCAAATGAGCGGTAAAATGAACAAGATGAAATGAGAGTGAAAATTTGCAGGTAGCAAAATTGAACCGGTGTAAAAATAATAATAAAATCATTTGATTCCATCAACGAGAATGGGGAAACTCTTCAAAGAAAGAAGAAAAAAACCCGGCACAACACAAGAATAATGAATGAGAGTGGTGGAAAAAGAACCATCCGCGTCTGGCTTTTTCCATTTGAGTCATCCAAGTATTTTCGGTTTTATCGCTCATTTGTTTCAATATTTCCAGTGTGTCTGTAATTTTGTGTATACCTATTACCTGATCGGTGCCTTACCTGATCGTCGCGTCGAACTTCACACCAAATATTTTCGATTATGATGAAATTTATTATCGCAAATAGCAAGATTTTATTCATAACTTATGGTTCGTTTATCCCGAATCACTAGAAAACACCACGTCGCTATTATTCGTTGTTGCCACAGAAAAAAAATGAGCTAATCGTTGCCAACAGACTTGTTTTCTTCGTTTCACCTGACTCAATTCGGTCCATTTGCCGTTTGGCGCATTTTATATCAACACACTGTTCCGTGCCATTTTCCGCCAGTCATTAAATGTGACGGCGAAAATTATAAATGCGAGTTGAATAGATAATTGAAGAGACGATAAAATGTGAATAAAACAAGCGATCGCATTTTTAATTACATGTGTGTAGGAGAGAGAGAGAGAGAGAGATAACGTTTGCGACAGGTGTATATTAACTTTTTTGTGCATCGCGTGTTAGTCTGAATACTTTTTCTTTATGTCTCTTTTCCTCTTTCTATCGTACCTCCTTCTACATTCAATGATTATTCCACAATATTCTATTCGACAAAAAAAATACGAATCAAAATATCTTTTTAGCTCATAATTATACATTCTACTTTTAGAATAGAAACCACCAGAAGAATCTAAAAACAAAAACATTGTATTTATCGTGAATGAATTTTCAATTTTATGCGGAAAGCTTTGAAAATCACATCGACTTGGAATTCATCAATATTGATTATTATACTATTTCCAATTTTGACACTTGTTCACAGCTGAATTCGTTGATTAATCAATATTTATTCAAACATATGCGTTTTATGTGCGTGCGATTCGTATTTCGCATCCATTTCATAGGTTACACACATTATTCAGGCGATGGCAAATGGAACGAGCAAAAAACAAATGGGCTTTTCTCGTACAAATAAATATTTATTTAGTGGAATTTATTTCAATCCATTCCATTTCGATAATGACAACTAATGTCATGTCGACGCTGCCGCCCTCGCCAACTCTGTTCAACGCTGTTGTTTTTGTTGTTGTTTTTTTGTCGTTTATCTTGTCGAAATTCTTTGCAAAAGTGATTTTTTTTGCCTCGTCGTTATAGCATCTAATGTGAAATGAAAATATGTACATGTTCGTGTTTGTGTTTGTATTCGATTCACAGTTTCTTATTCATTTCGTTATTGTATGCTATCGTTTCGAAAAAGTAGATGCTCGATTCGAATAGAAAAATGTTCGCGGCATCACGAAAAAATTAAAGAAGAAAATCAATTCGGAACTTCGATTCGAATAAATTTTTCCGACATTGACAAAAAGCAAAAGCGAAGGCAAAAAGGAACGCACATTCTGAGTCCATGTTATTCGATAATGGGCCATGGATACATATTGGTAATAAGTGTCAATGGTATGGCGGGAGACGAAAAGAGAGAGCGAATCGATGTGAATTTCACAGAAAGAGGCAAAACTTTGGTTATTAAAGTTTCATGGAACAACCGAAATACTATCTAAGTTGAAACTTGAACTGTGAACAAATCAAAGATCGTAAAATGAAAAGTTTTAATTTTTATCCCGTACCAATTTCGGGACCAAAAAACTCCTCCAGCTTCAAGATGCTTGTTATCTTTCTATCTTTTATTTTTTGTTCAATATAATTTGAATTGTGCACGTACAGCTGTTGCGTTTGTTCGTCAGAAGGGATGTAATGTGAAAACAGTCTCAAGAATCACTCGCGAACTTGGCCATTCCTATTTTGCATGGATCTGTTTCCCTTCATTTCCGCTACTTTGTTGCTAAAGTGGAGGAAAAATAGTGCCGAAAAAAAGCAGCAGCAACAACAAATTAAACGGAAAATAATGAGAAAACAGATCGTACTAGTTCACCATGACATTCGTATAGTCTCATTCAATTCCAACTAATTAAAAAGTAAAGTTATTAAAATGAAACTTAATACAAGACAAAATGGAAAGCGATTGCATGTGTAAGTTGTAACGTGCAGATAAGATGGCGCTACGATTGCATTTGATGCAAAAGACACGGCCAAATAAATACAAACATAAACGTATTTATACACAATGTTTTTCTTCTGTTTAAACATCACAATGAATACCTCCGTTTACAACCTCCGAAATGCAAAGCAAAAACTGTGCCGGTATTCCAAGAATTCCACCAAAATCGTTCGGAATTATTTTTTTCGTACATAAGACCACATTGGAGTGAAAGAGAGAGATTCCACTATTTTTCAGCGTGCCACCGGAATTATTCCTCACACAATCCACTCTTCCTTGAGTTATCGAAATAATTCCGGTGGGACGCTGAAAAATAGTGGAATCTCTCTCTTTCACTCCAATATGGTCTTATGTACGAAAAAAATAATTCCGAACGATTTTTGCGGATTGTTTTCCAGAATACCGGCACTGGTCCCGAATAGTTTCCCAAATGGAAGTTCAAAAAGGTACATGGACCGATGAGTTTGAAAGGAAGCAAATGAAAAAAAAATGAAAGCGAAACGAAATTGCAAAATATTTGAATGAAATTATCCTAATTCAAATATTTTGTTTGGGTAGTTTGCTTTTCGTTTTTGCGTCCCGGTGCTATTCTTTGTCTGTGCACATGCATATCGTCGTTGTCGTCTGGCCATTGCACAAAAACCTATTTGCTGCTTTAAAATGCAGTCGGATTTATTTAAATTCATTATGGAAAAATGTCGACAAAACTTAAAACTTTTTGAATTGAAAAATGTATGCGTGTGGGAGGGAATCAGTTTCGTCGTAATCGACGGCACAATTTATGTGTTTGCGCAATTCAAATTTCAACGTCAAGTGATGGAAATTTTCCATTTGGACACTATAGTATAGTAATAGATAATACATATATCTATAAGCCATGTGAACGGAGGGGCTGGGAGTTGGGTTAAAAAACAACGATAACTCTCTATTGCTTTTTGAATAAATCAAAATTTGAAACCAATGAATCGATCAAATCAGGAATAGCCGAAATAAATATAACAGCTGCGCTGTCCTTCTTAACGATCAAGTTTAATTTCACAGAACGCTTCGTATTTCTCGCTACTGTGTCGCCATTATAGACTCTCTGCTAAATACATTCAAATTACTAAACCCATTTCTAGATCGAAACCCATGAAAGTGATTGACTCAATGCTTTGTCTCGCGGACATTGATTTTGAGATTTTTTTTTACTTTTTTCATATGTTCGAATTAATACTGTTCGTCATACGTTGGGTAGCAAAGTGACTCTTTAATATGTTGAAAAGGCAAAGACGAAATATTTTACCGGAATGCTGTTGGTTCGTTCTCTGTACATGATTTTCAAGTCATGGATTTTGATATGGCAAATTGATCGACCATCCAAACCAATAGCCATACCTTCATACACAAAATGCACGTCTTCGATTTCCCGATGATTGGCATGGTTTTTTGTCTGTGTATATACTGTTTCGACCGATATTCTTGCGCAACCATAGAAAAAGTGCACATTGTAAAGCGCTGTTTGTTAAATAAAGAATCAATTTTACACATTTGTTGCAAGATTGATTGAGTGCTCTCATCAGCAGCATAATTGAATCAACTAAAAATTGACTGTTTATGCTTAGCTCTAAAATCAAGTTTGAAATATCTTTGCATACATTTGCTTTCGTCATACTCGAGTATCGATCTCGATGAAGTGAATAAATGATTTTATCGGATCGGATTTAACGCTTAACATTTACACTATAAACGCCATGTAAATTCGATACGTGTGCTTGTCGGACAATGTGCAATACATTGAAGAAGCGTTGAAACGCATTCACTGTATAACGTGCCACACCATCGTTGCTGTGATGATGTGGCTGAATGATAAAATACACGGTCTCACGGTGAATGACGTGAATAGAAATAAAATGTGCCAGCCGCACGTTCATGGAATCGAAACAATCATAGTCATACGGATTGTGTCTTTGTTCGTTTGTCATTCCCTTTAATCGGTTTCGTTTCGGAAATACCGTATGTCTTATCTTGTGTTCCATGTGAATACGCTTTTGCCATGGAATCGTCAAATTCATTCGGGCGATCTTTATTGAAATAAGGCCCAGCATCAACACACACAAACATATAGCGAATTCGGCAATAAAATGAAATCAAATGAAAAAAAGAAGAAGAAGAAAACAAAAAAAAGAGAGAACGAGAGTACAACAAAACCATCAGATAACTGAAAAGCTCACGTATACAAATTTGTCAGCATAATAACTTTATCCACGCACACACGAAAAACCGTACATATTTTGCGGCTTTGGCCGGGGGTCGTGTGATGTGTCAGAATCGCACATTGGGATTCTGTGCAGCACATTTCTTTTCTATTATATATAAAACATAAATTTGATGCGAGTGATGACGTAAATTTAGCCTTTTTTGTCCATTTTATCAACGGAGATAAAATGCAAAAACTCGACCATCGATTGCGACTGATTTTCTGTAGACGTTTCATACGTAATGAAGCCGCTTAATGAATCAATAATATGAAAAAAAAAATTCAATATTCAAAAAATTGGCCATCAGAATTTGTTGAATATTAAACTTTTTCTACAGTTCTGTTCAATGACTAATATTTTGAATTGGACATTATTTTTTTTTGGAGAGACCACTTTTGAAAACTCAAATAATGTGGACACTTTTGGTGAAAATACTAGAAGCTTTTTGCAGTTATCTGAGGAAATATTTTCACTGGTATTTTGATATAAAAAATTGGACCACAAGAATCAAGTGAAAACTTTCAAATGGTTCTACCAAACTTAAAATCTAGTTTTTAAGCAAAGTTGTAATGAATATGCAGTGTCTATAGCCAAATGTGTCATTATAATTCTCAGTGCTTAAACGGTGAATAAAGCCATATTTAAGGTAAATTCGGTGGGATCCATTGTGAACGAAAGCCATTCATTCAGTATACCTTTTACTGGATGGGCCATTTTAACGCTTTTACCGTATTTAAGTGCTGCTGATGACACAATGGCATTTCTCTCGGTTTCAAAGGAAACGATGAAACAATCCATTAATGTAGATTTACCGCTAGTGGAGACAGATTAAAATGCTTCACAAATGATTGGATGATTGTTAAATTGCATCAATAATTAAGATTGTGCAGCATCTTAGTATCATGAGTATAATTGTATTGTATTCAACAAAATGCTTCATTTTTAATTCATAAAGTGTGAAGTGCAATTTAAGAGCTGCGAGTGTATATT